CAATACTTTCCGCACCTTGCAAGTCTACCAGCCAAATGAAGATAAAACAAAGAACTAACTCCGCTTCAGTAGAACAAGCTGCTTTCGGATCGCAGACATTGCTAGAAGGGAGAGGGCTAATCTCAAAGTCACCATTGAAAAATAGTGAACTGCCGTCCACTGTATTGAAAGACTCCCACACAATATCAGGTTCCCGTACATAGCCACTATCTGATACCAGGAGATAAAGGAGATCCTGAAAAGGGAAAAAAGTTGAAGGACTCGGAACAAACATCAGAAGAGAAAAAAAAAGAAGGGATGTAATAAGAAGGAAACATGAAGCAACTCACCTTCCTTTTGTGAATGGTATGAAAATGATTATTCCGGAATAACACAGCCAATTCGCCATCGCGCATTGCTTCCATAAGAGCTACCAACCCATGGTAAGTCAGCTGAGATATGTTTTCGCCGAGGAACTCCTCGTACAGAAACCGATTGGGGTCACCGTCATCGCAGATTCTTTCCACTATCTGGTTATAAGTAAGCTCTCCAATAGCGTCCTCTGTAACAACTCAGGTCAATAGAATGCATTTGACGGGACTTCACAGTGAATGTTGAAAAATTCAAAAACAAAGAAAGTACAACTGCTGATTATAAACTTACTGATTTCAGCAAACTGAGGATCCGGGAGCCATCCATGATACAGGTTAATACGCAGCAGATCAAACAACGATAAAGCTGGAGTGAATTCGAAATCATTGACATGACGGAACCTGAAGTGAATTCAGATTCAATATACCAAAACTGGGTATTTCTTGACTCAGTATAGCCTGAGACCAATGATGCTGCATGTGATTATGAGGGAGAACGTGATTCGGCAATGATATGCGTTTTTTACTTGCTTACTGGGTTGCGTTTTTTACGTGCTTACCGGATGTAGCTGCACTCAAAAAAGACAGGATCACAAACTTTGATTTCCTACAGTGACTTGAAGATCTTGATATAAACAATCATTGCTCAATAGCCACTTTATTTCTACTGGGTGAACTTCTGTCCCACGCCTGTTCTTATTTTTAAGATGAACGAGAGATTTAGTCAAACGCGAACATGAGATCAAGTTCCCATAAGTAGCAACTATAAAAAATTTGCGCTTTCAGGCTAACATAGAACTTCTATAAATTAGATGGGAAATGTGAAGAGAGAAGAGATGTGAGCGAACTCTAAGATTACCTATGTCAGAGAACATTATCTAGTAAACTGTAGCGTATCCAGGACTCCGTTAAAGGGGAGGGGGAATTTCTTCCGATGCAGGTGCTTGAGTCAACACACTTCGAATACTTCTTAGGATTTCCCAAGATTAGCAGGCCCATAACAACGAAATTCTAGA